CTCCGCACTCTTATCGGGTTTCTGTTGCCTGAGACATTCGCCTAGCAGTTCATCCTTTGTGGATGTATATATATATATATATATATATATATTGCCATCCATCTATTCTTAGCAGGAAAATGTTCCAGTCTACTGCCCCCCCTTCACCTTCACAGTACATACAGGAGCCTCTCTCCATATTGCTCTCCATACACACACATTGTCCATTAGTGTAGCCATAGTCACAACAGTGCCAATATTTTACAAAAGTAAGCAGTGATATATCAAGCGGAGTTAAGAATCACCTTGTATTTAATAATCTTATTTGAAGATTTTATGTAAAATCTTAATTTGAAGTAAGTAACTGTAGCTGCTAGATAAATGTAGTTATAGTAAAAAAAAATTACAATTTTTAGTTAAAGAATTTGTAAACAATCCCAATCCTTTGAATCTACTTGTGTTGGTTTCCCTCAAACTTATCTTTATCCTTCTACTCCTGATTGGATAATTCAATCACATGTCCAAGAGAAACCAGGAAGTGCTGGGGATCAGTAAATGCTGCTGGAAAGATAACCATCTTCATCTGGCTTGTTTGTCAAGGTAGAAGTGACCTTATAACACCATATATTGAACCCAGACAGTAGACAAATGCTATGCCGAGTGGTGCTAGAAGACTAGTTTTCTGGAAGAGAAATTTCATGCAAAATAGAAAATAAATATACATTTTATTCTTGTGCCAAGTCTTCCATGGCACACCTATTAATATACTGGATGGTGATTTAGGCACTGATGAGATGCTCAGAGACTATGCAAGAATAATGCATCACATCCAAACAGCAGCCAGTCTGAGGCAGTGAAATGACACAAACAGCTGGGAAAATGAGCAGATGTGTGTCTTAATTGATCACACAACATCAAGCACACAGCTTGTATTGAGCTATCAGGATGTGTCGTCTCTTCTTGTGTTCATCAAAAGTTTGCTGCTACCCAAACAGCCTGAGAAGGGCGTTCTCTACAAAGTCACAAGTACTGACTTAATATTTATAGAATTGAAAATCACTCAATCGATGTTCTGGTCACAACACAGTGGAGGAATATGTGGCAACTTTACTGAAATAGTACCAGAAATAAAGCTAAAAATCAGCTTTACTGTGGTCCTCCTTCGGTTCCAACTATCTCTTAACATCTCAAACTTGGAGCCCCTCAGTGTATGATCCACCTGAGGTTACATAGATGATTTTGATGCATTGTTGTGGTTTTGCGGCCTGCAGCTTTACCATTTGCTCTGGAGTTTTCTGCAATAAAGCTCTAAAAAAAACTGTACGCTACCTGATCAGCAGCAAACAGCGGAGAAGCAAAGTTATCGACTAGCTTGTGAACATATTGCAGCATCTAGCGATATTCCCCTTGGGAGTGGTGGAGACCGCAGAGTTCAATACGAATAGTGGAGCAACATTTGTCGGAAACATGATTCCAAATGAATGCTTAAGTTGCTGGATGTGTAAATAGGCTAATGTTTGCTAACAAATTAGCTGTGTTAGTTTAAAAACTGATAATAACGAGCAGCCAAAATGAATTTACAGCAGACATGTAAGCTGTATAAACCTGTGTCACCAAAACACGTATTTAAAAAAATCTATAGACCTTTTCTGGAGCTCCCCTCTAACTGAGACGATGTCCCCAAGTGAACCTTTTAAAATCTTTTGAGCACCACAAATGAAATTCAATTTACCCCCACTGGAGTGACAGAAATTTTAAAAACCGGTATCTCAAAATCTCAGCATAAAAAAGCTGAAACTATCTGTGTGCTGAGACAGCGAATGTTTTATGTAGTTTGGGTGAAGCGACCCTTTAAGAACTGGCATTTCCCTGTGGATATGGGCATAGTCACTCCATATTTCCCACTAGAGGTGATGTTTTTCAATTGCTTCAATTAATATGTGTCTGTCTACCTCATTCTTTCTTGCTCTACTTCTCTCCCGTGTGCTTTTCTGGGATTAATCACCATCCATACTGACATGTTTTAATTGTGTTTTCTACCTGCTAATTAATCGTGCTGCCGGTACGTCAGCCAGGTCTGTTTAGGCCTGCCTTGATCTCAACGAGACTAACCTGGATAAGTCCAGATAAATAATGCGAGTTAAACAAATGTATCAACTTGAGAGAGGAGGCATATTACAAATTGGCCAAACCCTTTATATGAAGGGCTCTGGCTCTCAGCAAGCCTATCTCTTTCAAGGTCTTCCTGGATAATAGAAAATGTATGAGATAATCCAATTCAAACAGCTCCGGCCACTTTTGGTCGCGGCGGGGAGCAGCCACTCGTATGCCCTCAGAGTGTTGTCCATCCTCCTGTTGTGATGAGATACGTGGTGCCGCACAGCAACAAAGTACCATAACACACATTATGACAACAATACTGCACCATAAGAACAGGATCTGGAAATCTCCCAGACCCACATAAAAGGATTTATTCCCACATGCAGGAAGGAATATAGGGGGCACACACACACATACACACACACCCACACACATGTATGGACATACACACCAGTATAGCTAGATTTAGGTCACAAACTCACACACAATCACATAAGCCAGAATGGCTGTCCATTGAATACAAGGTTAGGCAGCCTCCATTTTTCTATTTACTCGCTGTCGTGCACACACACACACACGAACACATACACACAGAGTCAGTGGAAGCTAGATATGGGACACATGCACACACTCATATGCACATACACTCAGACTGGCACTCTATTTAGCAAAAACCCATCCTTTTTCCTTTTGCTGGCACTCAACCCTGCATGTGCACACACACACATACGCACACAAACATACATGCACACACACACACTGAGTCCCCTTCTGGCTTCCAGGCCCATATTATAAAGCTTGCAGGTGAGGGGCTTTGTTCACCCCGAGCAGCTAATGTGCTCAGAGCAATGGGCTCTCCTCTACACACACACACACACACCCTTAGACACACACACACGCTGGCTCAATGGTCCAGAAGGAGCACCTTATCTAATCCCATGGTTTATCCTTCAAAAGACTTTCTTTTCCTTTTCTTCTTTGTTCCTGCCCTCTCCTCTCTCTTCATCTCTGTGTCTTTGAGGAACTCCATGTCAGTGAGAAGCGCTGATGGTTGACGACACTCTCATTCTATGGGACAGAATCAGTCTCCTTGGAGACACACACACACATGCACCCACACAGCCTTTGAGGAAGAAGTGTCTTATGCACAGAGCACCCACACATATACACACAGAAAGTTTCATATGCATACACACGTACATGCACACACGTAACAAACACACAATCAGCACACCACGAGTCCTTGCACATAAACCCACACACACACTGTCTGTCCGTCGTGTCCCCTGTGGTGCCCAGTGATATGTGTTGTCACTAGCACTTCCTCAGCCCTACCGCACACATACAGACACACACACTCACAGATTTGCATCCAATTTACATGTAGACTTGTAGTCACCCCCGCTCAGTTACTGACAGTTTGTCAGACTCAAACCTGCCCCTGGGTTAAATCCATCTTCCACTGCAACCACCACCATCACCACCACCCACTCCACCTCCCTTTCTCCCCATCCTTTCTTCCTCTCTGTCTTTGTGCCTCTCTTAAGCTCTCATATTCCACTCTCTCTTATCTTTTCTCTCTCTCTTGTATCACGACTTCTCTTCTCCCTCCCTCTCTTGTCCCGTTGGGATGTGGTTAGCATGTTTTTCTTGGACAGGACCCTGCCTCGGGCAACCTCTTTCTGTACATACACACATAAAGCTGCAGTACATCAGGTTACGTGTTCTTGCTATGACCTACATGATTGGACGGTGTAATGGGTTTGTTTAAAATGTCAGTGTTGCTCTGGTTCATGTTGGGAGAAAGCAGCCTCAAGAGTCATCTGTGGAATCCAGAGCCTCTCACATCGAGCTAAAAATGATACTTTGAGTAATTAAAGTCAGGGCTCCTACATCGGAAATCATTTCTCCCAGCTCAGCAGGAGAGACGGTTACATAACAAGATCTAGTGTAGCTGATCTTACTCATCAGCGGATTCAATACAATGATTGGCAGGAGGAGGTCATCTACATATTCAGGGGCATTAGAGTGGAACAGTGTGTCTGCTGATGTTTAATGCACTGCCAATTCCTTTTAGTAAAAGTATGAAAGTCAAAAAAGTGGTTGTTTGACAAAACACTACTGTGATTCTTGACCACAAAGATATTCTTTTGTTTCTGTTGAATAAAGAAATCTCTGAATTTTGCCGAATGAGAGGAAACATACAGAGTAATGATATGGATCTGAGGAAGAAGAGCTAAGACACATCACATTCGTACAGTGGAGTAAACAAGACATACTGGTACGGATGATAAAACACTTGCTACCTCCTAAGTGTTAAATTGAAGGACGAATGAAGGAAGGAAGTTCGACAGACAGAAGTTTTCATAAGTCTTCAAAACCGAGTTTGATAAAAACATATTTGTCATGTTGCAAAACAGACTTTTGTGTTTCAACACTGTCCTACCAAATAAGGCCGAATATTAACTGAGGAGTCAGAGCAAATTTCCACCACAGTTTGACATTATAGGATGCTGTGTATATAGTATAAAGGGCCACAATGTAAATAAGTCTTGGACTTTATAATTTATCAAGCACAAATGCCAAACATTTATTGGATCTGGGTTTTCAAATCTGACAAT